AGAAAGAGTTTATTCTGCTCTCCGGATAGCAGAAGGCACTTGCGTGATCAAGTCCACAGCAAGTCCAAAGAAATGACAAGTTTCATGCAGTATATATATCCTCCAGGCACCCTCTCCCTCCTCCCCTAGGAGCCCAACCACGTCAGCCTATGTACGGAGGTTGACATCACATATGTTCCTGCTCTGGTACTCTCAACCATAAAAGGATCTTCCTTCCTGTACTTCTGACCATAAAAGGATCTTCCTCTTCCTACTCTACATAAGATAAGGCACACACGCATCATCCTTGCTGTACTGGAACTTGGCAAGGTCACTAATTGCCGCCACGGACTGATAAGGGAGAGAGCTTTGTTCTTGTTATGGATTTGCTCAACAGCTCAAGTTTATGCATTTTAGCTCAGAAAAAATAGGGATTTTGGTGCAGTTTAAAACTTCCTGCACAGTCAGTTTTGGGGTTTTGGGAAACCCATTCCTTCAGAGTGATGCGTTGTACAAATAAGTACTCAGCTACCCGTTCGTTTGACACCTGCCACGAGCGCCAGTGCCTCCTTGTCAAGCTGGCTATAATTCCTCTCTGCTGATGACAATGTTCTTGAAAAGTACGCAATGGGGGCCTCCCGACCGTCAGGGAAACTATGGCTGAGGACGGCCCCAACACCGAAAGGCGAAGCGTTGTGGACTAGGACGAGAGGACATTCCTCTTTGTACTGGACAAGGACGGAATCTGACACTAATAATGTCTTTACGGCTGCAAATGCGGTGACCTCCTGGTGGCCCCACGTCCATGATGCCTTTTTGTCCAGAAGCCGATGGAGAGGCTCAGCGACGGTCGCTTTGTGTGGCAGGAACATGTTGTAGAAGTTCAGTAGACCTAAGTAGACCTAAGAAAGCCTGAAGATCTTTCTTGTTCTTTGTTGTGGGGTGGATGCCAGAGCTGTCAACCAGGTATCCCAGGAACTCAACCTGTGGTACCGCGATCTGGCATTTTTCTCTCTTCACCTTGAGACCTGCTTCTTGGAACCTGGTCAGGACAACCCAAAGCCAATCCAATAGCTGTTGTGTCGAAATAGGTTACAACGCCTGGCAGACCCTGTAGGAGTTGCTCCATCAAGCTCTGGAAAATTCCCGGTGCTACTCTGACTCCAAACTGCAGCCTGCGACAGCGGAAGGCTCCACGGTGGGTGACGGTTGTGTGTGCCTCGGCAGTGGTGTCGTCCACCGGCAGCTGTTGGTATGCTTGCGCAAGGTAGAATTTTGCAAAAACTTTGCCTTCTCCCAGCGAGTGCAGCAAGTGTTGGACGACAGGGACGGGGTATGCATGCTGTTGAAGAGCCTTGTTTATCTCAGTCTCAGTCTCAGTCAGTTTTATTGCACATAGCCAAAGGCTGCCGCAATGTACACAGAATTATTTGACAATTAAAAGAAAATATACTGAATTGATAATAAAAGACTTAAAACATTTATATTATTAAAACATTACGTACTCTAAACAAAGCTATAAAAGTACCCCAATGTACAAATAAAAACATTAAACACTAAAATTCATAAGCTAAAATCATCACATGGTCACTAATGTTAAAAACAATATCAATTAATACAGTGTGCAATTTATACTCAGAGTTTGGTGACAAAGATAGAGCATAGCCTGAGGTAGATAGATAAGATCAAATAAATTCATCTCCTTTACAGTTAATGGCTACCTCAGTTTTATAATTGGCTCTAATTTTCCTAGCAGCAGTTGCAAAAAGTGCTACCCGCCAGGTCACATACTTATCTGTGTCTGCAAGGAGATATAAAATAATGTCAAGGGGGTTCTGGCCAGGGGACCCTGTCATTATAGGTACCAAAAATCTTTTTCTTGCATCATTATATAACCGACAGTGCAAGATATAATGCATAAGGTCCTCTACTTCAGAACATCCCCTAATGCAAACACGTTCGTTTTTTGGTATGCCTCTGTGTCTCCCATCTCTATAAGCAGAGCTTATTGTATTTAGTCGTAGCTCTGTAAAAGCTTTTCGAAGCTGTGCAAAAGTCAATTCATTAAAATAAGATATGTGTTCATTGACCTCTCTAAGTTTAAAATACAATGGGGCGCATGTAGATGTGCACATAGAGTTTAGATCGTTTTTAGTTGCCACTGCCCTTATAGTTCGTTTAAAAATATTTTTCTGTGAATATAAGGGGAGTTCTTTAATCTCAGTCACTGAGGTCATATTTGCCCATCAGTTGGGCAGCATGATGTACCCAGTTTTTAAGGGGTAATCCATTTGATCCAAGATCCAAGACCCAAGATGGCGCCGGCTTAGCAAGCAGGCTTCGGAGCTCCGCAGATAACAGGACTGTAATTAGCATTGACTGCCACCCAGGGAAGTAATTTTTCCTTTTTTCCTTCTCTACTTTTAAACTTACCAACCTACTGAGATTCTAACAGCACCTTCTTGTCTATGCTATGAGAAACATAGGGTTGTGCGCTCATCTCACTTAAGAGGCCGGGAGCCAGTGCTGTCCGGAGACACTTCCGGGTCATGTGGCCAGTGTGACGAAGCTGCTCTGGCGAGCCAGCACCAGCGCAGCACACGGAAACGCCGTTTACCTTCCCGCTATAAAGCGGTACCTATTTATCTACTTGCACTTAGGGGTGCTTTCAAACTGCTAGGTGGGCAGGAGCTGGGACCGAAAGACAGGAGCTCACCCCGCTGCGGGGATTCGAACCGCCGACCATACGATCGGCAAGTCCTAGGCACTGAGGTTTTACCCACAGCGCCACCCGCGTCCCCTGAACTCTTGAATACCACAAATCAAATTCAAAAAATTATGTTAACTTTTTCCTCTGCTAGATTGCCCTCACTGATTCACAAGCTGAAATTCAGATTGTCAAGCAGAGGAGTTTTTCCAACCCGGGTATTTCGCAATTCTATTGTTGCACCCTTATGTAAGATGAGGACTGGTGCTTCAAAGGGGCCCACAAAACCAAAGCCTGGATCCCCAATGGAAGTAATGACAGCACAAAAAAACTTGACAGGTGGGGAGGAAACAGACATGCCTGAGTGGAATTCGCGGGATCATGCCCAACATCAAAATAACCAGGTGAGCCAAAAGAAACAGCCGATTCCTCTAGACAATCATCTTCAGGAATCTGAGCACTGTGTAAATCCTTTGGAAGAGGATTTTCTCAGCTCCTTTAGGAATCTCCCTCAGGAAGAGCAACAAACAGTTATCAAGAGGCTTGATCTTATGAGCCAGACATTGAAAGAGATTAAAGAACCGGAAGCAGAAACTGATAATAGACCCAATGGCCACAACAGAATGATAACTATAGAACCACTGGAGTACTGGACAAAGATGAGATATTTAGAAGAGGAGGAGTCAGGAAATACACCCAAGGAATCCCCATTGGCAAGCGATTTGCAAAGAAAAGGCCCAGTGATTACAAATGTGAGTATTTTATGTACGACGACTGAAATAATCGAACATCTGGATTATTCCACCAGCATTAGCAATACTCTGTTGCCTCAAAAACTGGTAAACTCCGAGAGTACATTGGCCAACAATTGACTAAGAGTAAATCACTGTAAAACAATTAAACTTCTCTCATGGAATGTAACAGGGTGGACGAACAAGATCCAAGACAGTGATTTCTGTTCTTATCTACAAACACATGATATCATCTTTCTTCAAGAAACCTGGGCAAAAGAGGGCACTATGGTTGAATTACAGGGTTTTACAAGTTGTACTCAACCAGCTCTTAAAACTGTAAAGTATGGAAGGCCTAGTGGGGGTCTGGCGGTGCTGGTGTCAACCTCTCTTAATGTATCAATTCAACAGTGCCCCTCGTTGACCACCCCTAATTTTTTAGTGTTGTCCCTTTCTGATAGTCTCCTGAGAAATACTTATTGCATCTGCGTGTACATACCACCAGTAAAGTCTTGTGGGGAACTGAGATCATATTGGGAAAAACTTGACCAACTACTCGAAAGTATCTCTGTCACCTAACCCTCGGCTTGTCTTGGGAGGTGACTTCAATGCCCGGATCGGCCTTGTTTCCCCACAAAATACAATATTATCTGGACTAAACTTGGAGGACGAACCTGAAATCTGTCAGAGGGCAGCAATGGACGCTTTGTTTATCGTACACTTATAATCAGCACAGATGCGTACTGACCCATCAGGCTTGATGGGCATCACAATAGGAGTTTCCTGCTTAGCCTTGTACACTGGCTCCAGAACCCCCTATGCTTATCTAATTGTTCGTCCACTTTGGGCTTGAGTGCGAACGGCACGTGTCGAGGCTTCACACGGATGGGTGAAACCAGTGGGTCGAGGCTAAAAGATATGGGCGACCCCACATACTGTCCCAAGGTTCCATCGAAAACTTCTGAGAACTCCGCGACGATAGTGTCCGACTGTGAGACACTGTGGATGCCTGTGATTCCCAACCCCAGGGACGCAAACCAGTCCAGTCCTAGCAGGTTGGGGTGATTCCCATTGACCACAACTAGCTAAAGCGTCCCCAAAAAGCCCTTGAAAGCTATTTTGAACTTACCCACACCTACAACCGGAATGCTGTTTCCTTGGTAGTCTCTCAAATGTAAGTGGTGGGACTCAAGTTGTCTCTTGGATACCTTGGGAATCCATCTTTTGATGGTACTCCAAGATACGATAGACATGGCAGAGCCCGTGTCGACTTCCATGTCGCATGGTTTGCCCTCAATTGTTACAGTTACATAAATTTTCCAGTGGTCAGACCTGTCAGCCCAGCCAACAGTCTGCTCAGCCAAACAGCCACAGTTGGTGAGGGAGTGGCAGTCCTCGTAGGCAGACATTGTCAATGACTTTTTGTTTCCCGATGCCAATAGTGTGTCTGCTGGTGTAGACGAGCAACAAACCCTTGCAATATGTCCCTTACAGGAACAACGCCGACAGATGGCATCCTTGAAACGGCATTTGGACCGGGGGTGATTGCCACCACAACCCACACAGTCTGATTGGTTTGTTGTTCACTGCTTGACTATTCCACGTTTCTGTTTGATGCGACAGACGTCATCCTCGTTATCTGAACAACTCTCAGATTTGCTGATCTCCTCATGGTAAACCGTAGTCGGTTTCTTTGGAATCGTAGGGCTGTAGGCCTTGCAGATCTCTGCTGTTGAATGTTTTGCTGCCTCCATGGCCTGGGCTTCCTCGATGGCTTGTTTGAGAGTGAGGTCAGATTTGGCAAGGAACCGGCACTGTAGCTTTTCATCCCTCACACCGCACACGATTCGATCAAGCAAGGCATCGTCCAAGTCCCGGAATTCACAGTGGTATGCAGCCTTCCTGAGGGCTGCCAGGAATTCGCTGTCTCCCCCTCCAGTTGTATCCGGTGATGGAAAACGTGGCGAACAGCGATTCTTGAGATTTTAGGTGCGTAGTGCCCCTTGAGTTTCTCAATCAATGTATCCCAAAGCACAGATTGCACAGCAAGTGGTGCGACGAGGGCCCGAGCCGTCTCAAAAACTTCTGAACCACAGACAGTGAGGAAGAGAGCTCTCTTTCGATTGTCTGTCAGGTCTGTGAAAGCATTTGCCTTGAGGTAGCATTTGAAATGGGCAACATAAGACTGCCAGGACTCAGTTGCTGGAGAATATGAGGGTAGAGGCAGTAGCAACGCCATGATTCCTTGACGCTGACTGAATGGTGAAGGACAGGATGCTAGCCTCAGCGATATCTCAGCTCTTGAGTTCTCAGCTTAGTAGTTCAGCTCTGGCTGTGTCTTGTTTCATCCCGATCCCACCTTCGTCGCCAGTGTTGTATAGTGGGAAAGATGGGCGACAGACACAGCTCTTTTAAGCAACAGCTCTTTATTACAGCAGTTAACACTGCTCTAAGTCTCTCTGAACAACAGTGAAGCTGGTTGCCTTATATTATGCTCAATAACTTGTAACAGTAACAAATTGCAACTAACTACCCAATTGGTGAAAGCAACTCTCAATCCTTCATTTGCATACTGGTGGCCCAGAATGAGAACTGCAGCCAGTCTGAATACATAACACTTGGGACTTTTTGCATGCAAAGCAGGTGTTCTGCCATCAAGCTTTGCTCTTTCTTCAAATACACGGAGCCTATGCAGTTTTCCATTTTGGTTGGAAGAGACCCAGAGTGTCATCTAGTCCAACCCCCTGCAATGCAAGCCTCAATGTATTCAATATGTGTTTCTTAAATACAGTGGTACCTTGGTTTAAGAACAGTCCTGTTTAACAAAGATTCAGTTTACGGACTCCGCAAAAGCGGAAGTAGTCTCCCAGTTTGCGAATTTTACCTCGGTCTAAGAACGGAATCCGAATGGTGGAAGGGCACCGGCGGCGGGAGGCCTCATTAGGGAAAGCGCGCCTCGGTTTAAGAACGGTTTCGGTTTAAGAATGGACTTTCACAACGGATTAAGTTCGTAAACCGAGGTACCACAGTATGCATATTTTAACTGCTCATTTTATTAATGTTTTGGTTCTTTTTGTTGAATAGTTTCTTTAAATGTAAAGGTTCATCACTGTTCCACCCGATGTGTATGTCTTTAAGGGGCCAGAGCAAGGGCCAGAGCAAGATAACGAGACCCAGCTTTACAGCTGTGAAACATAGCAGGTGCTGCTGAGTTGTACTGATTAAGCTGTGTTGGCAATTGGGTGTAGTATCTAAGGAGCAGCACCTAGCTCTCCCATTACCCTGGGGGATGGGTTGGTGGTTGGGTCTGGTTTGTTGTTGATGTATTTAGTGTTTAAGGAGTTTTGTTTTTGTAATTAAAACCTTGTTTAAGTTATTTTTGAGTCCCTTTTTAATGCATGGTCTCCCCAGCAAGCTCTCTGCAGCGCTACCATACTGCAAATAGCCAACACTTTTATGTCTATTTGTTTTCAACTTCTGGCTTCTTATTGATTATTTAAATGTATATATTTTATTTTATGCAGATAAGGCATGCAATTTACAATATAAATTCAACACAACTAACTAAATAAAAGGTAAATGTAAGCAGTATTACAGTTCTGCCAAACATTAGCTTTCTTAGAATGTGTAATCCACAGTTAAGACTTTTAAAATGTGCTGATCTGTACAATGATACGGAAAAGGGGGGGGCATGTCTTCTCCACCCCTTTCCGCCGGTCACCAGAGGGTTCAAGGCGATGACCTCAAGGGGCACACGACCCCACAGGAACCCCAGTCCCCTCACCGTTACACAAGCACCACACTCAACCCCAAGCCCCATGAATAAAGTGCCTTTTTCCCTTCCTATGCCCGTTTCTTATCATGAATAGACCGGGCGAAATAAGCCCGAGCGCCTTATCCCCCCTCCCGCTCAATTGTTTCCATTGGTAGACGGTACAAAGTTGTATTTTGTATCTTATGAATGAACTCGCCTATCTGCGTACTGGAGCGTTCTACCCAATCAGAACAATGCATTCGCCTTGCAGAGCTAGCTCAGCTCCAGCTGTTGCACGCCTCGTTTAACCTTTGACAAGCTGCTGACGGCTCCCCGCTGGGAGAACAATGGAATCGAAACTCGTAAACTTGTAAACCTGTCAAATCTTGCTACAATGTATCTAGATATTTCCAAATTTGACTGTCACTACCTAAATGGACAAAAATACGGGGGGGCCACTAGGGGGCGCATCGGAAGATGGCTGACAATAACATCTCTCCGACCCACATGAGGTAATTTGGAGGCTATGATGGGGGTAATTAGCCTCCTTAACCCCTCCAGGATTGTGGGGGGGACGGCCCTTGCCTGCTGTGCCCTATACCACCCCGAATTTGTGGGGATGGGGGCACTAGGCACAAAGCCCTCCTGTGGGATTCCGGCACTCCTCGATGCCGTCTCTGATCCGCGCCGCTAGTTTGCAAGAATCTTCAAAAGAAACAATTTGGACGAGATAAATTGCACATACTTCAAGGAAAGAGGGGGAGTAAAGACTGCTGACAGAAGAGATCTCTGATAAAACAAGACAAGAATAAGATATGAGAAGATATGTCAAGATACGGTACGGCAAATGACTGAGGGGGGAGGGGGGGAAAACCCTCTTTTATTTCTCTAAGTGATTAAACAAGAATCCCCGCCCCGAATGAGTCAGAAATGTTGTTTTAAGGACTTAAGTTGTGGATTTAAGGCTGTGTGGAGATAAATTTTCGAATCAAAGCAATGTTCCAAGACGAAGCTGGGAATTTAAGAGTTTTGGAATGACGCAGTTAAAAATGCCGTCGCCATTTTGGGAGGCACTGTCGGAGCTCTTGAGTCTGGGAGGAGAAAGAGAGAAACAGAGTTGTTTACATATCGTGGACTAACTCTTCAGTGGGATTTAAGAGTGACAACTGCCTAATTTACGATGGAAAGAGCGATGTTATCTACGAAGGAGATGATATATGGAAACCATCTGGACTTAGATTGGAAGAACGGGAAATTCACACAGGATTATTATATTTGCTTATCGGCTTAAGGAGACTAACAGAAGAGATCAGTAAAGGAAAAGAGAAATTATATGAACAAGATATGATGTGGAAACACCAAGATAAGATTGGATAGAACTATGAACTCTGTTTGGACTGATTGGGACTGATTTGGACATTAATGCAGTAATAAGAAGATGATTTGAATCCCCCTTTGGATCTTGAAGTATGGGTTCCCCCAACAAAATTTAAAAATTTGGCTTTGTAATTTGGAATTTATGTGATGTGATTTAATTTGATGTGATTGGCCAGTTAATAAAAATTATTTTAAAAAAAAAAAATGGACAAAAATACATAAAAATTCATAGAAAATCAACCGTAGCACCGATTCTCTCGCTTTCGGTGCCAATCTGCTCAATTTCTCTACGTCTTCAAGACTCCTCCGGTGTCCTCCATAATTCACCAAGCGAGATGTCACGTACACTCAGGAAGACCCTAATCCTGTCAAATCATCCTGCCAAGCCTTTCCTCCAGGCAGTGCCAGGTGACAGACTTTACAAACCTGGACTCTATTGTTCCCTCATCACCGGTACTCAGGATGTACTTATCTGTCAGGGAACTGACATCGGAGCCAGAGGCGGAGGCTAAGCTCTCAAGCGATGCTGGAGAAGGGCCCAGCAGGGGGAGAGGTGGCTCACCAGCTGGGGAAAGAAATCAGCGTAACACCAGGGATAAAGGGGGGCAGATGGGGGAATCGGCGAGGGGGCTCCCGGCCGCCTCGCCGGAGATCAGCGAGGAGAGCACAGGTCCTCCACTACCCACGCCCTCCCTTCGCAGAAGACTTCCGCGCAGGGAGAGTAGGAGGAGACTTGGAGTCAAACAACTTTTATGCTGGAAAAGGTTTAAGAAACGCCCACTGACGGATTCTGCTAGTGACTGAACAGCCACGAAGTGCAGGGCTGTCCAGACAGAAAAGGTTTAACAAGGCAACCTAGCCAGGAGTGGCACCAACTTGCGCACGAGCAACCCCTACATTTATTACAGCAATCCGTCAGTCCTTGACATTGCTTGTGCGCAGCGACAGGCAGGCAGCAGAATGAGCCAAACCGGAGAAACCGGCGTCACGGAGGGAGCAGCTGGAGTGCAAAATCTGGTGGAGAGGAACCAAGATTTGGAACAGCATGTGGCTCTTCTCACGGCGCGGTTGGAAGAAAGGCGGGCTCACAATACACAGGTCAGGACCACCCCGTAGCAAGGAAGGTACCGGGACTGGTACACAAGTTTGGGGGGAAGCCCCAGGACTACAACGCGTTCCGAACGGAAATAGAATACGCTTTGGAACTGCAGCATAAGGATTTTGCGGACGATGGGGAGAGGGTGGCCTACATTGTCGGGCATCTGCAGGATGGGGCCAGGGAATGGATCAGGCCCCTAATGGCAACGCAAAATGCCGCCTTGAAAGACCTGAGGAAATTCTTCCAGGCGATGGATGCGATGTATTCCAGTGATGTGCAGCAAAGTGTGACTCGGCGGGAACTGATGGGTTGTAAACAGGGGAACCAGTCAGTTAGAGACTACTGGTCGCGCTTTGCCATGTTAGTCCACCGGCTCGGGTGGGAATTGGACTCGGAACCCATTCAGATGTTGTTTGAGGAGGGGTTGTCCCCAACGGTGAAGGACGAGCTTTCCCGCGCGCCCCGCCTGCAGTCGATGGATCAGCTGACCAAGGCTGTGCTTGCGATTGGCGTAAGACAGGAAGCGCGGGCTCAGGAGAAGCGGGAAGGGAGAGGGGAACGTTGCCATGACTACCGCATTCCTGAAATACTGAGGCAGCCTTCCCCGCCGGCGGAGCCAATGGAAATTGATGGCGCGCGCGAGGGAGGTTTCAAACTCCAGTGAAGGTTGCAAAAGGGAGGGAAAGGATTGGAAAACTAATAAGAAGTGTTTCCTCTGCCAGCGGCCAGGACATTTTGCCAGGGTCTGCCCTCAAAGAAAGGCCTGGCAAGGAATGGTGGGAGCTGCTGGAGCTGAGGAGGAGGGAGAGAAGGGGCAGGAGCAGGGAAACGCCAACGCTTGGCTGCCACTCAGCGGGCACAGCAGCCAGGCCAGCAACCAATAGAAGTGCCCCAGCCAGACCCCCCCCCCAGAGCGGCTATAGCCATAGAAGTGGTCTAGAACTCCCAAATGGGCACCCAGTCAAGGTTAAGGGGTTGTTGGATTCAGGCAGTTCCTGCAATTTCTTCA